TTATAATGAACAGTTACGTTGTGTGTGTGGTTATAATGAACAGTTATGTTGTATATGTGGTTATAATGAACTGTTATGTTGTGTGTGTGGTTATAATGAACAGTTATGTTGTATGTGTGGTTATAATGAACATTTTCCCATTGTTCTCTCATTTATCCTCTGTAACTCTTATGATGCTTGGTTTACTGGTGAAAAAACTGCACAGAAAGTTTTAACACATATTTTCACCACCTCACAAAAATGACCCAATGGGGAAGAGCAAGGTGGATAGGTAGGTTAGTATTGGCTAAATGGGACAGAGGTAAATAGTGATGTATGCTCAACTCTGGAACAACAGGACTCTAGGATACAGGGATTGAGGCATAGTCTGAATGGGTCAATGAGAGAAAATAATGTTAAAATGCTTGACTGTCTTATGGATATTGGTTTCCCTTGCCTACTATTATAAAATAGACACTTGAGTGGGATCGAAAGGAATATCAGGAAACCTGATTACAGAAAGCCTGTAAGCCCATCTTCAGTCTGTAACTGATGGAATACCTAAAAGGGGCTCTTGAACTTGTCCAGTGAAATAGGCCTATTGTGGAGCCTTTGAAGTATATAGGACCTTAGGTAGAAGCCTGAGCCCTATCCAGAACCTTCTATGGTGGGACCTTCCCACTTGAAAGAATATGCAGACCAGCCCAGAACAGCTAGAGGAAAAGAAGGGCCTTCTTGAAAGAATGAACAGCAGGAAAAAACAAGAACAAAAATGGCAGTCTGTTTGGCTATTACAAGAACAAGCAAGCTGTTCGTGGGGAGCCATCAAGACAAGCAATCAAGTTCCTTCAGGACAAAACCCCCTCTAATACTGAAACTCAGAGGGAACACATGAGCAGGCATGTAAGCATGCTGGTGACCACATTGGTCTACATATGAGTAGAAGTTGGGGAAAAGCAATAATGAAGATAAGGGCTGAGTTCGACCATGTTACATAGACCCTTATTGATCCATTTGACCTAGCCTCGATGGCTTGATGATCAGAACTCAACTAGAGAAAGATAAAGAAATTTAATAAAGGAAGCAAATATAAATTGCTACAATTTGATTAACTTATATTTATGGATGTAGCTCAAAATGCCAACTGAGAGGGAAGGAGTCTTCACATCAAGGATCAGTCCTATCCTCTCTGTACACATGGTTGATGGTGATGCTGGTTATGTGCCCTGGAGTCAGTTCTGACTCAGAGCGACCCTGTACAGGCTTTCCAAGGCTGTAAATCTTTACAGGAGCAGAACGCCTAATCTTTCTCCCGCGGAACAGCTGGTAGTTTCGAACTGTTGACCTTGAGGTTCATAGACCCATTCATAACTGAAGGAACCTGTGCCTGATCAACAAAATGGCATTGTGCCTACCCCCAATTAGTACTAAATAAAGTCCTGCTTGAACTTGGGGTTTCCCGGAAAGCTTAAGTCTGTATTACACCTGGAGACCTCTCCCCCCATAATTCCAGGTTTCAGGAAAATCTCCATAAATCTCCATACCCCCGCCCATTGTAAACTCACCAGAACTGTACTGGACCACACCGCCTTAAATACCCCAGTCTGTAAGAGAACAGACAGGCTCTTCTTGCTCTCCTTTGGTGACTTAGAGTACCCCCTCCCAGCTCTACTCTCAATAAACCTGCCTGCTGTTGAAGCCGAGACTCTCCTCTTCTCTTTCTTTCTTTTTCTTATAGGATGACAAGGATGGGCAAATTAGACGCTGGCTACCAAAAATGGGGGTGGGGGCGATAGAATGAATGTAAAACTAATGTTCTCCCATGTAAACGATCACAATTCACAACAAAACATTTATTTGAAAAAAAGGTTAAAAAAATGGGGGTGGGGGGACTATAAAGGCAAGAAGTGGCATCTAGATGGCTCTGGTGAAAAGAAGGGATTGGATTCAATTGAATCAATAATGAGTAATTGTTAGGACTAATTATTGCACATGACTAATTACAACTGTCACGGCTGTAAAGGTAGAAGTTGTGTTAACAAAAAGGGGGGCAAGTAGTTAATCTTACAGTCCAGGAAGAGAGGACCCTAGGACCATCAAAGGGGAAGAGCACAAGCAGAAGGTGGGGACCCTAACCAGAGAAGCAGTGACACCAGAGATGAGGACATGGACAGAGAGAACAGCTGAGGACTCTCGACTCATGGAAAGAGAAAGGCTGTGTGCTGGTGGCCAGGAGGCCTTTGGTTGTTTGAACGATTATATATTCCTGCATGTTTTTGGTGTACAACAAAACAAAAACCCAGAGGGAATAGAAGCAAATACACTTAATCGATGATGCATAGAGATTGTAATCATTGCAATGAAAACCTTAAGATCCCACACAAGTGGTGGTTTGAGATACAGGGTGTATCTGGAAGGAGGTCTCTACG